CGATGCGTGTGCTAGCCCGGAGCCTTTCCCATACAAGGTCGACGAGACACTCCAACGTATCACCGTTCAATACGACGCATCTCATTTTGTGGCTGTCCACGAAAGCTACCAAATTCGCCTCTCGAATGCCATTCAGAATGCGTTTTGCAGCCCGCGATGCGCACAATTGCGAGGCAGGGTGATAAACAGCACAATGTTCGATATGTATAGTCGTCCCATCTTGGGGTCCGCAGGGTGCCCCTGGCTAACCAACAAAGAGGCGCGAGAGAGAATTAAAACGGTGTTGGCTAGCTATGCGGATGAGCTTGCCTGCTCCCCTGAACAAGACTTCCAATTGAATTCCGATCTGGACCGCGTTCGAGCAATTCTGCAAGGACTCGAGTCCTTCCATACTACGACAGACAGTGTGTTGCGACCCGTCACTTCATCCTGGTTTGTAGGTGCTGAACTCTCCCCAGCTGTGGAGGGGTTGGACTCCACGGAAAATAGATAGATTGTCTTTGCAGACATGTGCAATCCATGGAAAGCGGGCGTATGGGTGTAATACTGTAAAATAATTACTTTGTGTAGCACCCCGGTTTTCTGAGAAAAAGTGACACCCTGGTTTCAGTTCGAGCAGAAAAGGTCAGCAGTGAAATGCGAACCAAAATGTAACAGGCGCAGTAAACCAAAAATGTAGCAAGTCATTCTGACAGCATTATCGCGGAGGAAAGGTCTTCAATGGGATATATTTTCCTTGAAACCTTTGTGCTGTGAGGTTAGCTTTGACCTGATTCTAGGTAGTTCAACGCTTTTACGAGCCACCAGCACTCTGCAATACCAGATTTCTGGCCTTGGCTCCACCCCCGAACAAAGCCCGCTATAGGTACTTCAACCAAGCTATCTGGCAGTCCGACGAATGGCCCGGGGTCCTCAAGTATTCAACAGGGTGCAACCAGGGAGAAATGCTTATTTCAATGTGTCCATTTACATAGTCCAGGTACAACATGAACTGGGTAAGCGACCATCTCTGCGGTCGTGGGTTGAACATTCTCGCGAGGAGGTTCAAATCACCTCGTGTAGGTTCAATGCCATCAGGGTTCAATGAATTATGTGCCATGTTGCGTACAAGTTTCTGGCAGTGCACGAAAACTTGCCTCGTTTTCCAACAAGCAACGTGCTGAATTTTTAACCATGTTCATAGTTGGTCACTTTTTCGTCTATATTGTGGGGTGTGTCACTTTCTCGAGCAAAATAATTATTTTACAGTATTCCCGCCATACGGGCGTTGGTATAGCTGGCATATTACCCTACAGCAATTTCTTTGTTCCGGAAAATGACACGTCCCAAGAGGAAACGTCGTATGCCGCGAAGGGGGAAAAAAAAGAAAAAAAGAACCCACATAGCGCCATAACAGGGAGTCGAACCCGGCTCCCTCCGTACCCGACCAGACTGGAGGTCAGCTCGGGAGGTGAGTCCGCTTCCATCGAGCAGCAGTGGAGCACTGGCGGTGCAGAGTCAAAAAATTAGATGAACATACGGAGAGAACTCAAATGGCAGCTATTGGCAACGGCAAAACAATAAGTAGCTCACAAGGTTGAAAGATGTGTCTGGGGTGCGGACGGAGAGTGCGGGCCGAAGCAGAAGGAAACGATGGGGAGAAATAGGTTCTATCCAGAAGCACATACTGCCGTCGGGAGACTCGGACCCAGCCTCCACCCTTCGAAATAAAAGGTTTCACAGCCTTAGAACCTCCGTTGTTGACAACGGCTATACCTATTCAATTTCTGTCCCGGATTCCATCAGACATGTCCCGCATTGGTCAAGAGAAAGAGCTGAACCCACGAGTTCACACTTCTGTCTGCTTAGGCGAAGTGAATCCGATGCGTATTCCAACTTTGATACGCCCGTCTGCCCCGCGATCCTGTAATATTGTTCAGACACTGGGTCTTCCTGTAATGTAGATGCACTGCAGAGTAAAAAACGTCGGGATCTATCATCTGATCCCATCGCGAGGAGTCGAACCCCGCCACGTAGACCCAATCTTACATCCTCGAACAACGGCGACGTGCAGCGACCTCCGTGGTCAACGATGGTGATATCGGGGATTGGGATTACTCCGATGAAAGCTCTGGGTGCAATCGCCAATTACCGGTGATTTTAAGGACATCAAAAGTGGAGGAACCGACACAGCCCAGAGCGTCCACGAACAGTCCCGATTCGAGTTGCGTCCGAAACAAATTGGAAGGCGGACGATCCCAGAGAAAAGTCTGCAGCCAGCCGCAATCAACTCCAGATGTTTCGCAACCGGAAGATGCCTCACCTGGTTTCCCGTTGCGGAGGGGTTTTTAAGTTCGTCGCCGCACATCCCAGGCAACGCACACAGAATAAGTAGACGGAGATGTTGGAAGTCAGCTATCAGATGGCCAGTTCCCGATTGCGTGACGCGTCCGATGAGCGAAAATTTAAAACTTGAATTCGGTGGACCACCGGTCCGACCGTCCGAGTCCTAATGCACGGTCGCGGTCTGGATGAGAGGAACATAACAGCCCAAAAAAAATTCGTCGAAGCAGAGAAGCAGTGGATTCGGCATAAGGATGGTGGAGGACGAGAGCAGGAGTGTGTGCTTGGTGTGTGCGGCTGTTTGCGATCATTATCGAAGATGACGTGTGCGGCACTGCCACGCCTCTTTCTTTTTCGGCCCCACCTTTGCCCCACCTCAACGTTCTCTCTTTCCCTCAATGGTGCCGGCGTTCTGCTTCTACTTGTCCTTGGTCCCCTCTTGGGACTTGCTCTACTGGTCAGCATGCTTTTGGATCCCCCTGCCGCAGTACTCTGGTTGCTCTTCATGAACTCGGCACCTGCCTTTCCGACGCCACGTGCGCATTCATCACTTAGCTGCTCCCCGATCCAGCATAGCTCACCCTTTGATTCACCTCATAATATCCGGCCTGTCCCCGAATCGCAGCTTCTCGAGGTACCTGTCCTTGCGGCGCTCACGTTCCTGCCTTGTTAGCGCAGCTTGCAGCCCTGGTGGAACACCCCAATATCGCTGAATTCGATCTATCACTTCGTCAATCTGTCACTGCAGTCGCCGTTCCTTTTAACCACCAAATCTTCCAAACTCCCGATTCCACCGCCTGTGCTGCCCGCACCCCATACTTTTTTTTCTCGGCCCTGTGTTGTTGGTTCCCTGCTGTGACTTCGGATAAAGTACGGAGTGGTCCTAAAAAAGACATCCAGGACCCTTACATGCTTTCGGCGGGACTTGAACCCGCATCGCGGCCTGAAAAGTCTCTCGTACAGTACTGAGTAAGGGTTGGGCGTGACCTACATTGGTCGACGAAGGCAATAAAGGCGAGTAAAATTACCGTGTTATGGGGCAGTGTTCTGACAGGATTTTTCGGCTTCAAATCCAAGGAGTCGTGCGCCGTTGTGGTGGAAGTCTAACGATATGTGCCTCTGCCTTCGCTCTGTGGCTTCCCAACGGATATTTTGATGTGCCGGATCTTGATTTCTGTGCGTGAATCCTCCAATTTCTCACCCGCCGCGAATGCGACTGGTGCTTGACTGGGTATGCTTACTTGATTTTCGGAATCCCGTACCTTGCGCAAGAACCAACCAACCGTATAGAAAGAAGGCCTGTAGCGGAGGGTCCGCATTTGCACTCAATAGAAGCGGACACATGTGCTGTCCGGGGCTGCTCGTTCGACTCGAGCTCAGGCCATGGTAACAATCCGTTGGTATTTTGTTTTGCCAGTCAGCACGAACCCTCCCCCGCTCACATTGTTGAAACAGCTTGTGTGTGTGTTTCGGGTTGTCTTCTATGCCCAACCCCTCCCCAATATCGAATCCTCGTGGATTGCACGGGTTCGATTCGAGCTCGGACACTGCGTTGTGCACTCCAATCTTTTCGAGCGGTTCGATAGTCAATGGAATTTTGGACGTCGAACCGAATTTCCACAGACGTAGCGGAGGGTCCGCACCCGCACCGAATATAGAAGTCGACGCGTGCGCTTTGTGCGCGATCGCTCGTTCGATCAGAGATTAGAGCTGCGGCAATACTCGGTGGCCATTCATTTTTGTCCCTCTTTCTTTACCCCATACTGGCCCGTTATTTCCCTGCATCGAAATTCGAGCATTTTGCGGTCCGTTGGGATGCACTTCTCTTCTCTGCTCTTCCTTTGCATGCCACTCCGCCGAACAGTGCAGATACCAGATACTGATGCGGAACAACTTCAACTGCGCTTCTGCACCCGCACTACTTCGTTTGATATCCCTTCAAATGGAGGATGGCGATTTATAAGAAGGCAAAAGATTCTTATCCCTTCTTGATTCCTATGTCGCTGATGATTTTCTGTCTGTTTGCACATGTATATACCCCGCCGCTTGGGTCCCGAATATCTGAACTTTCCCCATTGATATTGGTTTCAGGCTATGAGTTTGTGGAGTTCAACGGGAAAAGGGAAAACGCGTGCGTTGAGAAGGTGGGGAAAGGTAAACGAATCGGCGGTGTCCCGAAATTTCCTGGCTTCAACGTCAGTTACTCAGGCTCTTGGTTCCGTTACAGCAACACGCTTTGGGCTTAGCTCGCGTTTCTCCTGGATCCGAACTCACAACCATAGCAGCTACAAATATTCAACGAATGTGAGACGCACTCTGTAAGAATATCACATCCAAGGAGGGAAAAGGGAGGTACGATCCAATTCGATTCGATAATTTATTCAAGAAAACGGTGGCCTTTTATACCTCGAGAACAATGTACGATACATAGACAAACGGATGAGGTAGAACAATGAACCAGACCAGCTGAGTCACGTCTCCATGCCAAACACTGTGCATCTCCATGCCAGCGTATCAACGCGCAGCCAACCACAGCAATCCGCAGCCAACCGCCACGTCCATCCTACGTGTCGGCTTGCCATCACTCCAACACACTCCAACACACTCGGTATGCCACCCCCAAGGAATTCGGAGGTAAACGCGCGATGACCAACAAAAGAACACCGAACATGTCAGAAGGCCCTCGATGGGACTCGAACCCATATTTCTTCCGAATACATCGCGAAGGTGAAGCTTCATATTGCGGAAACGATCTCGCTTGATCCACGAAGGCTTATTGCCAAGTCTGTGGCGGTGATAAGTGCTGAAAATAAAATGATGGAAGGAGGATAGGTGGAGGTGCGTCGAGTAAGATTCATTGACTTTCTGCTGGATACCGGCTAGCATAACAAATGCGGATCCGGAGCTCCTCTACATGGTCTTCCGCACCCGCCTTGGGTATGCAAGACACAATCCCTGGCCGACTCGATCATGCCTGCACTGAAATTATATCCCATCTGGTTCCTGGAGAAACTTGCTGCTCTCTTCACTTCATCAATCTAGTGAAATGGGAACTCAGACATCACGGCATCGCCACCTTTAGAAAGGTCCACATGCTGCGGTAAAAAAAAAAGCAAGCAATCCCGCGGACACCGGTGGTGAGACTCGAACTCACACCTCTTCCGTGTAGTAGCAATTGGCGGTAAGTGGAGGAGGCGATCTACGTTGACCGACACAGGCTTAAGCTGTAATGCCAGCAAAGCTACATTCTATACTAAGAGACCGTGCCAATCCAAGAAGAAACTGGGCCGAAAGACGCAAGAAATTCGACGGCAATTCTTTTTTGCCGCCACTGTACGTCATCCGCACACAGAAGCAAACAGCAATTTGTGTCTTTCCTTCAATCTCGACGCTCGTCCCTCTTCCGTCCCTCACTTCTCTGCTCTCCCCGTTGCCGACACTCGAATCGAAGCACTCTTACCTTCCTCAAAACCCCACCGAGAGCGCAAGCGCGTTTGATCAGCCTTACACGTCATCCCGGGCTACAAACAGCGATTTTCGCAAGATTTTCGGCCTTCTTTTCTCGTCCCTTCAAGGACACTTCTCTGCTCTCCCCTCCATCGCCGGAGACATGTAGCCTCAGCCTCATCAAGTGATTCACGGCACCCGATTGCACTACGCCTTGATTACGCCAATCGATCGAAATTTGAGATTCCAAATTCCAGAATCCACACCCAGCGGGAGTGGATGCAGCAAGCTAGGAATGAAGACGGGGAGCGGAACAGCGGAGTGCGCAGGCTCGGATTTTGGGAGTGAGAGGAGGTGGACCCCAAGAGGTGCACAGCCAAGCAAGGTGAGTTCTGTTTCGTCGATGCCCGCCTCCATCCGCACTCTTTCCCCGAGTCTTGGCAGCTAAGTCTGCTGAGATATACGCGACGTCCGATGATATCGGTATTTTTCAGCGTGTTCACGAATCACAGATCCCGCCCCATTGCTGGTAAGGACGCATTCTTGGTCCACTCTCATAGTGCTGGCAAAGTTCGGTTCAGTTCAGGTTCGGGGCAAATTCTCTGAACCCCGAACCTGAACCCCGCGTTCGGTTCGACGAAGTACCGAACCTCGAACCTGGAGCGCGTTCAGGTTCGGTTCAGCGTTCGAACGCGGTTCGAACCTGAGCCAAATCGGGCATCTCGGGGACTCCAAATTCCTTGCGAGGCCGTGCAAAAAATCACTTTCGGTAACAGGATTAGCACTAAAGGTGACCTAAACTCAATTCAAAGGAAACATACCGGCTCTAGACTCATTCTTATTGGCTTTGGGTTCCCAATCAGCCAGGTTTCAGCAAAGAATTGTGCGGTGAAAACCCGGATGGCATATGATCCTCAAGGGAGCCCTGTAAATTGATCTGTCTGAGTCCCAGGTACAATCTGGAGTGCTGGATAAGTAATTCGCTGCTTCAAAGGGCGAAAGATCGCTACATTTTGACATTTTCAGGTTCGGCGTTCGAACCAAGTTCGAACGCACCCAAGAGGAGCGAACGCCGAACCTGAACCCAGCGTTCGGTTCGTGGCTGCCCCGAACTTTGAACCTGAACCTGGCGTTCAGTTCGGTTCGGTTCAGGTTCGAACCTTTTTCTGAACCGGACCTTGCCAGCAATACAGTGACTCTCAGCACCGTGTACGATTATCGAGTCACGTTTTCCTTCATTTGTACAGATCCTCCCACTCGCCCTTGGGATCCATATCTTCCGCTTCAACATACCCGCCAGTTCCGCACGGCCCGCGTTCCAAGCGCCAGGTCTTCCCAAATCACGCCTCACCCGCTCGCGCTACCCGAACTCAACCCATGCTGTGCTTGTCATCTTATTCTCTCCGCTCTTTGACAGGTTTGCGGTCAAAAAAATCTGCAGCACCGTTCCCTAGCGTTCCCAAAAAACAATGCGTACCACTGTTCGGCATTGGCTTCTTTCCCTCGGAGACGGCTTCCTCCCTATTTTTTTTTGTCGTTTAGTTTTTCCCTCCCTCGCTTTCACCCCTTCCCGCTCCCCTTTGTCTTCCTCGGTCTCCTGAGAATTATACTTACAAATCAATCCGCGTCAGTGCTTACTCACCTCGGGCTGATTAATCATAACCTTCTCACGGCAAGCTGCGTTACGAAGTGTTGCTTGTTCTCTATATTATGAAGACTGGAAGGCAAAGTTAGAGTCCGTCTACCCCCGTCCATTCTCTTCCGCTGCACCGACCTCTGCATTGTGAAATTTCCTGCTTTCGAGGTGGCTTGATCTGTCTGACTGTTTAAGGTAGAAAGTTGCAGCCTAACCTTTGTGACCCTTTAGACACTGTCGTTGGCCTCCCTTGACGTATGGCATCCTCCTCCGGATTGAGTCTGTCTCCGTCTCGCGCCGTTTGTTTGCGTCTCTTCACACGCGTTGCAGGTAGACGGCAGAAGAATTTGCTGGCCCGATCCAGTCGTTCGAATCCCGGTTCGCATCTTCTCGTTGCCGTGACCGTTTTGCTGACGGTTCCCATGGCAAGACACAAACCCTCATCTGCGCCGTGTAGCGGTGTCTTCCTTGACACCGCTCCCCATCCGAGCCACGGTGGGCGATCCTGCTTATGATGGTTCAACGTACTTCAGTTGCTATGAATTGTCCATCCGTTACTCGTTCTCGTTCTGTTCTCGTGAGCCGTACCTAAACCTGCACCCGGATGATTTTCACGTCCTCGGAAAATATCGTGCGGCTACTTGTGCCTGCGTTGCGGATTTCGTCGCGCTATTTCATCATTTGCAGTCCGATCACTTGATTCAGCTCATTCGCGCTCACGATTTGCAGGCATCCGGCCAGTCTAAGACTGCGTTGTTGAAAGCCCTGATCTGTCATGATTGCACCGTGGCTTGTCCTGGTGCTACCGCTATCCTTGTGTTTTGTCGGCTCGCGCATTACCGTACCGTCTATACCGGCATTCACCTCGACCCGGATATCCCGCGCCCAATCGTTAGCCGTCCTGTTCCTCGGTTAGAACCCCGGATTGGCTCTCGAGACCGCGTTGCCGATGTCCATCTTCGTGCACGCGACGAACGCCCTGGTGTGGTGATGCTGAGAAGTTCTAACCCAGAAGATAGTATCCTGCCGTTCCCCCCCACCGTCAGCTTCAGTGACAAGATGGAGATCGTGCGCGGATGGCAATCAGTCAACACTCCGGATAAATGGCTCCCTTCATCGTGCTCCGTTTGCGGGCAGAATTCCACCGTCGATCCGAGGACCTTCGATTTGACCCTACTGACAAATCCTGATTTGCCTCCGCATCTCTTGCCTTCCACGTACAACCTCTCTGCATATCAGCACGCGATTTTATACTACAAGGCTATGCACAGCACGGAGTGCCTCGGCCCTTTGGATATTTGTACATCGTGCTTGTCGTCGCTCAACGCCAACAGACAGCCCTTGGACCCTTGGGCCAACTTCCAGTATCACGCGTATGATCGGCTCCCTCCCCCAGTGGACTCGGCCTTCTTGAACGCGTCTATGTTTGACTTGATGCTTGTGTCTCACAGTCGCACCACTAGGGTAACCCATCTGTACAGTAACAAGAAGGGCTCGGTATGGCAAGGGACCAATGCGGCGACCTCCCAGCGATATAACCAGGGCAACGTGGCCATCATGCCGCAGGATATTGCGACATTGCGTCCTCTCCTTCCTCCTGGCCGCGAAGAGATAAAGGAGGCGATGTGTGCTCTGTTCGTTGGTGCATCTACGGTCCCCACCGAGGACACCATTCATAAGCTGAGCCCTGTTCTCGTTACCAAAAGCCGTGTCATCACCATGCTGGATTTCCTTTTGACTAGCAACACACTGTACAAGAGAGCTGCAACGTTCAGTCAAAGCAACTTGGATGATCTTTTTTCCTTTGCAAATCGGAAACGGGACACGAGCTTCCCCCATGCCGCTGAGCTAGCTTGCCTGCCGCTGAGTGATGTCAATCCCGTCGCTACTAGCTCTTACACTTCACGCTCTGACCGCACAGGTGATGATGACCCTGAAGATGATAATGAGCTGGGCAAAATTGTGATGGAGGCCGTTGGGTACGCTGCTGGTGAGCGAACACCCGAGTCCTACTCCGTGATGAAAGCCACTGCTCTTGCGTGGTGTTTAGATTGCAACAAGTTCATCCAGATGCAGACCGGTTCGACGTTTATCTCCGAGAACGATTTCGGTATGATCACCTTCGCGTTTCCTCATCTGGATCCGTACGGCATCGGTGGGTTCAACGAACCGTTGCGCCCTTTCGCTCAAAGGATATCTTTCGAGCGATACGTGAAGAATCTCTTGATGCAGCACCACGGCAGGTTTCAGAACGATCTGAATTTTGCTTACGTTTGTTGGAACATCATGCAAAAGAAAGAGGTGAACAGGCACATTGCTTTTCGCACCAGCGCGAGTTCCCAGGCGACCGTCGCTGCAGAAATCAAGGAAGTGGCGCCTGCGCTTACCGAGCTCATCCAGAAATGGGAAGCGGAACCTAATGCCAAGCCGTCCACAAAACAAGAAAAGCGTGCAATGCGCGTTCTCAAAAAACTGAAGCTCATAGCTAAAGACCTTAAAGGCAGTTCTGGTTACAAGCAATGCCGTCGTAACGAAATCCGGGCCCTTATTCGACAGATGTCGACACCTGCTCTATTTGTGACTTTGAATCCCGCGGACATCGTGGATCCCTTGCTCGGTGCTATGGGCGACCTGGACTTCGATACTTGGTCTTCGATGTCCCGTTTCGAACGGTCCCGATACGTTGCTCG